CCCATGTAAATCAATATAAACCAAGCAAAATTTGGGTATCTGTGAACTACATGTATGAGAATTTTGACTGTCTAGGTTTCTTCCTTCAATCTGCCCCTACCTGCACTGTAGATCCTCATCCCCCAGTCCTTTAAGCAGGGTCTCTTTTGTCTGCTGCATGATGTCATTAGCAGTCTCACTCTCATCTTCTCTGTAAAAGTCAATTTGATTACAAACTTTGACAATCAAAAGAGAAATAGTCAAATTGTCGATTTATTTTACTTCATATCCCTTCTTTCTTTATTCTCTCTTCCCGTAAACTCGAGTTATCGTTCTTAACACGAGTTATCTTTCCTAATAGCAGGTATTGTAAAATTTCCGGTAATGAGGTAAAAGGATGTTGTAAATGACAATATGTCAAAAGGTTTTTTTGTTTAAATTCAGCTTTCTTTTTTAAAGTGTATGAAGGTCAAAACTCTAGAAAATAGTCTCTGGAAATTTGTGGAACATGTCGCATCTTTGATTGCTTATCACATTTTCAAGATATTCTACATAGCAGGCATGTAGTCGAATCATCGCTCTTCAAAGGAAAGAAGGGGGGATTAAAAAGGCAAATTAAAAAGAATGACAAACAAATAAAAAATTAAAATGATTTTTCAAATATTTTAGGGAAAACAGAAAATTATTAAAAAACGAAGAACATATCTCGTGGGGGAAAGTGGGGGGGGGGGGGTGTCCTCACTCGTTTTCCGTAAAACCGTAAAAGAAAATCCAGTACAATACCATACTGCAACAATAGTGCAGAGGGAAAGGAGGACCTGCAAACCTACCTATGAATGAGAACTTCGATACCTAAGCAGTAAATGCCGTTATTCCGGTGGGGGGGGGGGTTATTATGGACTTACATACTGGATATAGAAACCATAAAGATATATATAGCTTCTCAATAATATGCATTAGTGTGGGAAAATTTTTTATTTTTAAACAATATTCCTGATTGATGTGCACATTAATGTATGATATGAAAATGAAGTATAGGGTACCCTTTTTTTTCGGAATGTTAGTAATTTTCATTCCGTAGTCAAACTTGAATGAACAGGATCTTAATAAATAATTGACATACCGGTAATAATTTTTTTTTTTTTTTAACACTCAAACAAGAAATGACATGACTTTATTTTAGAATATTGTTTAATGTAATTTGCTAGAAAAATTCTTGGGTCTAGAAAATTTGTTCTATAAAACAACCATGAAGCTTTGTGATGTCATTTTCTCAAAAGAATATTAGTTTGGTCTATTTTCTCTTCAGCTTGATCAAATATTATATACCAGTACTTGTATATATGTACATTATGTAATTGTATCTCAGTCTTGAACCATGTTTTAAAGTGAATAAACTGAACTGGTTCTAGGTTATGATTAACGTCCTTAGTTAATAAGTTGTTACTGTGCCTATTTCGTGAGGGGTGGTTGGGGGGTTTGGTTCCAACTTTTTTTATACAAGAGAATTATTCGGATATATGAACATAAGATGATCATCAGACTGCAACAAAAAAGCGTGTGGGTGGTTTCAATGAATATTTTCATACTAAATTAACAGTACTAATAATTTAAACTTATATTCCGAAAAAAGGGGGGTACGTAATTCGTGTTTCTCTATAATGCATCCATAATATAAACAAAAATGCATTTCAATAAAACTATTTCCCTTCAAATATGGGTGTAGTACATTTGAATATATACATTGTATTAATATTTTCTTTTTGCAACATCATTAGGAACTTGTATAAGCCCATTTAATTGCAGGGATGTTTACTTTTAAAATTGTCAATTTCTTCCTTTTATACGTTATGGGTTTCATATTCAGGGAAGACTAATCTTTTATGGGAAGTGTATTGTGGAAATTAGATGCCTTAATTATTTAACATAATTCGTAGAGACATTCCAACATCGTCGACTTGCATTTTGTTTTCAATTCCGTCATTTTTGGGGGTCAAAACTTGGCCAATATGTGGTATATGCATTTAGATTGTAATTTTTAATTGTTGTGTTTCCGTCAAATCTTAAAATTTAATACTGTACATTGTATCAGATCATACATTTATCCAGAGACGAACTTCAGACTCGCTAGTTTAACTTTAATTCTTTAAAAATTTTAACATTTCACAATGATTTAGTTATCCCGCGACATTTGCTCTTAAACCGGAAGTTTTGTGATACCTGCTATTAGGAACAGATAACTCGTGCTAAGAACGATAACTCGAGGTTACAGGAGGAGAGAATAGTACTGTTAAAGGCCCTCATATTTGCTTTCTTTACCTGTAGTTATCGTAGACCCACATCAGAATGTCATACATGACGTTACGGCAGGATATACTGGGGCTGATACTGAACCCACAGATCAGGGGCAGTAACTCCGACACTTCACCAGGCTGTAGTTTGGTTTGAATGCTCTTGACAATTTTCAGAGCAATCAATTGTGTCTCTTCATCCCTGAAAATAAAAACTGTAATTTAAATCC